ACACACACACACACACACACACACACACACACACACACACACACACCCCACCCCACCCCACCCCACCCCACACCCCAGCAAGGGAAACTGTATCCCTACCTGGAGCCTATCCCGTAGCATGGCCTTGTTTGTAAAAACAGAACCCCCAGCAGAAGGGCAGAAACGCAATCATCTCTCAAGAGATTTGGACACTTCCTTTGGACCGTGTCTCTTCGCCGTTTCGAAATATATTTTTAAAAAATACAATAGATCCGGAAACGAATTACAACCTGGACTGACAGCAAGCCCAAACAAAGAGTAGATAGGGAATAAAATAAAAATCATCCCTCGTGTGAAATAAAAGTAAAATGTAGCACATTGTTTCATCCACTGGGGTCTGCTGTGTGCCAGGCGCTGTCCTGGGAATGGAGAACCCAGCACAGGGAGCAAACAGACCAAAGCTCCTGCCCTCCAGGAGCCCCTATTCTAGAAGAAATGCATAGTTCTATACCCATTACAATACTGTTCTTGAGATCCATCACCACCTCCCCTGCCAGGCTCTGGTGGAAATTTAACTACATTGGAAAATTGATACTATCTCCGTGCACATATGGGTATAATTCTAATGAAGGTTGCTTTCTGGTTAACAGGGAGAAGAAAATGGCTTTCCAGACAGTACTGGAGATCCCCTTTCAGGTAAAGGATTGATTCTGCAGAGGTCTGGGCTTTTCTGATAGCTGGCATGACAGAATTAAAGATAATTTGCAAATATGTTTATCATTAACTTTAAAAATCTGTATTAAAGGCTAGAGAAACTTTCCAACCACAGGCCCAGGGGAAGTGGAAGGAAATGGTAACCAGATTTCACAAAAGCCTTCGGAGTATTTTCTCCGAGCTGACCCTCTTTGGCTTGTGAAGGGCACAGCCGGGTTCTCAATAGGAAAAGTTTAGGAGGGGGTAGCAGTCACAACAGAGCTGGGGGTCTTGGCATTGATGGAAAACTGCCAGGTGGAAGAAGGCAACAGGGCTGGGGCCAAACAGGCCCCTGTGGGAAGGGCCAGCTCAGCCAGTCACTGCCTCCATCCCTTCTCTGTGCCTGGGGCGCTCTGTTAGCCAAGGAGCCCCTCCCGCACCGGCCATGTGCTCGTCCCGTCTGCCGCTGGTGTGTTTAACCAGAGAAACATTAAGATCTGCCTCCTTTCCCACTTGTTAATGTAAGTTGGAAACTTTGGCAGTCTTCAGATTTCTTATTAATTCATCATGGAGAAAATCTGGAGTGAGCATTAAAAGAAGCTACCAAAAGAATAACTAAAAAACATTAAAACCTCCCTAATGTTTTCTATACCTCTTAAAACACATATTGAAGGACCTGAGTCATCAGGGTTTTGTTTCTTTCTTTCTTAGGGGGAGGGTGGTGGACCCTAAAGCCCTCAGGATAATGGGTCACCAATCCTACCTAGACTGTGCCCATGTAACCATGCTGAAAATCAGAACATGTAGTGTATAATCAACTTTTGTCCTCCCTTAGAAACATGATATGAGCAGTACCTGGGTGGCTCAGTCGGTTAACATCCCACTCTTGATCTCAGCTCAGGTCTCAATCTCAGGGTCATGAGTTCAAGCCCTGCATTGGGCTCTACTTAAAAAAAAAAAGAAAGAGAAAGAAAGAAAGAAAGGAAGGAAGGAAGAAAGAAAGAGAAAGGAAGGAAGAAAGAAAGAAAGAAAAAAGGTGTTAGCAGCAGTTAGCTCTGGGTGGTGAGACTCTAGGTGATTTTTTTTTCATTCAGTAGATCTTTATTTATTAAAGACCTACTATGTGAGTCCCAGACAGAAGTACAGCTCTGGGAGACAGAAGTTGGGATCCTGGTTCCAGTCCAGCCACTATCCTGCTGTGATTAGAGAAGTCAAAGGGGAAACTGAGCCAGGTGAATTTGTACTGGAGCCTTCCCAGCAGGTTTCACGGTACAGGCCTAAGGTCAGGGTCCCATCTGGACACCCCGTTGGAACTTGCCTTCCCTGGACCACACCCCGCCCCCCACCGGAGGCTAGGACTGCTGGCCAGTAATTATCTCTCTTCCACAAATGCTACAGCCGACAAGCTCAAATTAGAAGCACTAGCTGGGTGATGTGAGGCAGAGAAAGCATCTCTTTGCTCACAAGCAGTCACTAATTTTTGTTTTCTTTCCACTCTCCTATATTTTTTAAATTTCTAACATGAGCGGATATCAGAAAAAAATCTCTCCCCCCCAACTTTTAACCTGTATATACAAACTTGTATATAACAAATGATCAGATGTAGGCAAATATATATAACATGTGATAAAATAAGGATATCCATAAAAGGCTAACTGATCGACCTCAGTGGTAAGAGCATGAATTTTTTTCCCCTATGCTCATCTGAATTTTCAGATTTTCTGCAGTAAGCACATGTTTCGTTTCTTTTCTTTTTTAAGATTTTATTTATTTGACAGAGATACAGCGAGAGAGAGAGCACAAGCAGGGGGAGCAGCAGAGGGAGAGGGAGAAGCAGGCTTCCCGCCGAGCAGAGAGCCCGATGCGGGGCTCGATCCCAGGACCCTGGGATCATGACCTGAGCCGAAGGCAGTGGCTTAACCAACTGAGCCACCCAGGCACCCCTTTCTTTTCTAATTAAAACAAAACAAAACAAAAAACCTGTATTTAAACTTTTAAAAGACTAACACCCTACATAGTAATGTGGAATGTGAGCTAAAATGAAAATGGATAAAGTAAGTTGTTTAGGAATATCTATAAACCTTTATGATTTAAGGTTGTTGTTGACTAATAGATTAACTTTAATCAAATTTCAGTCATCTCTTAAAAAATTTTACCTGTGTCGGGCGCCTGGGTGGCTCAGTTGGTTAAGCGACTGCCTTCAGCTCAGGTCATGATCCTGGAGTCCCGGGATCGAGTCCCACATCGGGCTCCCCGCTCCGCGGGGAGTCTGCTTCTCCCTCTGACCCTCTTCCCTCTCATGCTCTCTATCTCTCATTCTCTCTCTCTCAAATAAATAAATAAAATCTTTAAAAAAAAATAGAAGTACATTTATCTTTAAAAAAAAATTTTACCTGTGTCAAAATGAAATGGAAGACTTTTGAAGAGAATAAACTTTTCACAGTGATAGGTAAAATGATTGCGTGCATATGGTGCTATTGAAGTCAATACCTTTCGCACCCGACGTGCTACCCTGCACACAAGAGTGAGTGTTTGGTTGGATTTTTGTTTCTGTTTTTGTTTTTCATAAACAGGGGGATGAGAGACACTTAATGGCTTTGCTCTTGAGTAAACTGGCAAAAGCTGATCTGTATATTTCGGTCTTTGAGTGAGAGTAGCAGCTTAAGTAAGCTTTATCATTGTACTTACAAACACTAATTTAGCACTTACTATATACCAGGCCCTGTTGTAAGCACTTTAAAGAGCCGCTTAGAAAAAGTGCACATGACAGCTCCGAACTTATTTTCCTCACAAGATGGAGGTTACAGAAGTGATGCTGTGTCACGTGGCTGGTGCTGGGTCACAGGAGTCCTAAGTGGGACTCAGGCCTGGGGCCTGGCAGGAGCTCAATCCCAACCACCAAACCAGGCTGCCTCTCTACTGGTCAGATGCATTGCCTGGGTAGTACACACATCGAATCCTTGAGTGTCATACAGTGGGGGTGAGGGTCAGCCTTCTCAGATACAGTCTTAACCTGGAACAAAGCCAAAGCCCACCCTCACACCCCCGCCCTCAGAGTCAGTCTCTGAATCACGGTAATAGCTTTCACAAAAAGCTCGCTACTTTCCCTGGATCAGGCCCTCAGGCCCTGAACTCAGAGCCTGGATTTTATTAAAATTTTTGTCTTTGAAAACTTTAGTTATCTGTGATCCAGCTTATAGCTGGTTAAAATAAGCAATGTGGGGACAATGGAAGGCACTGCCACAGAGGGAGGGATTAGACAGACATGGGAAATGACAGCCAACAGTTTGTAAGCAAGGAAAGAAAGAGAATACAAATCAGAATCAGCTCCCCCTGGAAAAGCAAAGTCCCCTCTTCATGGAACCAGGGAGTACAGAAGCAAACGCCCATGGGAGGCAGAGCGCAAGAAAGAAGACTCTGTGTGGTGCCCCCGATTAATAGAATAATGCACCTGCTCTCCACATTTGGCCAGCTTTTCAAGGATGATTTTCTGACAACCTTGCATAATTCAGCGCTTGCCCAACCTAAACCTAATTTCCCCACAGAAATGCAGGTAAAATAGGATTGTTACTTTTGTTTCAAATTAGGTCCATTACATGACACTTCATTCATATGTTTGTGTCACGTAATTTCAGAATCCAAATTCACATGGAATTCTAAGCTGAATTTTTACCTGGGTCCTTCCTGACCTAAATTGGTTGTTTTTTTTTTTTTTCTTCTTAAAGTGCCCTCTACACTCCAGCTTTGTTTGATGACAAAATCAAGGCACAGCGTGATCTACTAGCCCAGATCCTTCCAATTTGTCAGTTAGACTCCCCACAGCTGCTGCCAACTTGATGTCTCCTTAAAAGGGTGTTTTAGAGAGAGAGAGAGAATGAAATTGCATTGTTTTTCCCTTTGGTTAAGAGATCAAACGCCCACCAAAAGCCCTTGGGTTAGTTTCTTGGGAGATAAAAATAGTTCTTCATCATTTTCCAGCTCAAAGCATATAAACTACCTCCGATGAATAATGTGGTGTGTGTGTGTGTGTGTGTGTGTGTGTGTGTGTGTGTGTGTGTGTGCGCGCGCGCGCGCACCCCAGTGATTTATCAAAGCCATAAACTGACGTTTTAAATATATTTCCAACCACATTGGAAACCACACACACATAGAAAAAAGCATGAGTTTATACCCTTAACACACATAACTGCAGAAGTATTTGACTCTACTCTCACACTTTGTTGGTATTTTGCAGGCTCCAAATCTGATAATTTATAGACACCTGGGATAGAGTTATTTTATTTCAGGACCACAATATTTTGCTATTTGCTAAGTTGCCAATAAAAAAATGTTTACTATTTAATTGTTTGAATTAACTCAAGACCTAGTTATCCTGGGGAACATTATTATAAATGATCTAAGAGCTCACAGTGGTCCTGAGCACACTGGAGGGAAACACCCGTGTGGTAATAGTTCTCGAAAAGCCAGAGTGTACAAGATAAAACGGCACCTACCCTGCAGGGAGACACATTAAGTCAATCTGTGATCCACTGCCAACATCTGACTGGAGCCAATTTCTAGGCTCAAGTAATCATGACCTTTCTGAATCCTGAATCTTGTTCCAGTTTACAATTAACTGTTAATTGAACAGTATTTTAAAACCCGCCAGCCCCAAACCGGAGTTAGACACTGCGCCGTTGGATGCGAGCTGTTTCTTACCGTTGTTTTAAGTGACATAGCCACACCTGGAGGGAGAACATTCTAGAATCCCGAAACACTTCTTTAAAGTCTATGTAAATGTGTGTGTGTGAGAGAGGATGAAGAGCAGGGGGAGAGGACAGAAAACACCCCATAGGAAAACCCACTCATCTACTGTTGAGTGTGGGGACATGTTATCTGTTCAAAGACTTAATCACTGAACAGACACACCATCTCTCAAAAGTAGCTCTGATTCCAAAATGTAATTATGGCAGGCCCTTCTGACTAAGAACTTACTCTGTGGATGTCTTTAAGGCAATGGTTTT